ATGTGCCTGGCATCATTAGTCGGACGCAGCCAGCACGCATCTTCGATGACATTTTCGTTTACTTCCAATGCCACTCCTGTCGCCTCAGAACTCGCATCCACCCAGACTGTGATCTCGTCACCACTCATGCACCAGTCTCCTCCGACGGGATCCAGTTCCCACACTCTACTTAACATCTCTGCTAGTATCACGACAGAGAGAGGATCTTTGATGTTATCATCCCATCCATTGGTTGCCTGCGGTTGCCAGGCGCTTGACGAATGCAACTGCCACCCTGAGCCATCCACACACTGGGAAGTGTCCAACAAGTTTCCCCACACAACGAAAATCTGGCGCCGCCGGGTCAACACATCAGGGGCTTCTGGAATTTGACCTCCTCGTTTCCATCGGAGGGTGCCATTTTCTTCCCAGACCTGCAAGCCAAGAACTCTTGCTCCATCTCTCAGTCGCACCGGATCCTTGCACACCAAACCGTAATCCGAAAAGTGTTGTCTTACACGCGATGCAGAGGCCAAACTTTCATTAATGAAGATATCATCAACGTATGCTGATGTGGCACTTTCAATTGTGCGGTCTTGTGATGCGATGGCGTCTATAACGGATTTCATGATGAGTGGCGCTACATTTAGCCCAAATCCTAGCCGCGTAAGACAGAAGCGTTGGCCTTTGAAAATAACCGTTTGAAATGGCCACAGTGCTTCGTCGATGTGAATCTGAAGATATGCGTTCCGCCCAGATCCAGAAGCGACATTGACTCCCTGCCGCCGCCACGTTCTCAACTTATGTGCGCACACTTCTGCATCGGCAGTGAAAGCATCCACAAAGTCGCTCAATTCGCGGTAATCGAGTACCGGACGCACCTTCTGTTTCTGCTCCTGCACGACTGCCATCAAGGGAATCAGACCCTTTGGGGGTCCCAGTCTTTCCTGGGGTATGGAATCAGCCAGCCGTTCACAATCCACTGCTGAAGCTCTTTCTCGTATTTTCCTCTGATGCTGTCTGGAACTTTGTACTCAGCGACCTTGTTGCGAAGCTGAACTGGCGGGTCTTTTTGGGCCCATTTCCACCTGGCGGTCCACACTCTCTCGTCGGAATTGAAGGAGACGTCGAAATCCGCTCACTAACGCAAAGGGCTGCACACACCTTTCTTCTTTCACCCAGTTCCACATTTCCGGCTGGCGTGATCATCATGCCTCCTAACGCTTTCGGATCGCATCAATCCCAAGTAGCAGGTCGTTACCGAGGGGCCTTTGACGTGCCACCAAGGCGTCGACTTTGGCATGACTCCCTCCGTCTGTTAGGACTGACACAGTCCCGACACCACAACAGGCCGGGACACCCGTCAATCGTCGAATCTCGATTTGTTGACTGTTCCATGTCACGCATCGATCCGCACTAACGATCGATCGGGAACATCCAGTGTCAACGGCGCCGAACATCGTTTACCCTCAACGCACCACGTTGATAACAGGCAATGCCGCATTTACTGACCGAGGGGGGCAAGGGTTGCGACAGCACCTTGTCCCCGGACTCGTTCGAGCAATCCTGTGCTACATGGCCTAACTCTTTGCAGCGATAGCAGCGTAGTCGGGCACGCAGTTCGCCTGCCGCTCCTCCCACGTCACTTCGGCTCCGGCAGTCCCTAGAGAAATGGTTGGGTCCACCGCACTTGTAGCACTTTGGGCCCTCCCTCGGTGTCTCAGGCGTTCTCACGGCTGCCGCGATCTGTTCCGTGTCCTTCAAGATGTTTCGGGCCCTGGCTAGCAATTCGTCAATTCCCAGTGTGTCCAATCTTGAAGACGCTTCGCAGGAGCCGACTGGTGTCGTCTGGAAGCCCCTGCCAGGAAGGCGCACCCCAGTATCTTTTGGTCCGTTGCTCCGTAAACGGTACTGCCAGCCTTCGCAAATCAGCCAGGTAAACATCCACGGTCTCACCCGCTCGAGCCGTCGTCCGACGAACTGTTTCCAAGCGATGAATGGATCTATTCCAAAGGCCGTATACAGGGCGTCCTTGATCTCTTCTAGGTCAGCATCGTCCCCGAGTTGTTGATATACTGCGTAGGCTCCTCCCGTGAGTCTCAGTGGGATGACTAGTGCAGGTTCCTTTATTTTGGACACCCTGCAAACACGTTCGCCCTTTTCAAACCATTCAACGATAGTCGGGCCCGTGGGGGAGCCGTCAATTCTGGGATCAACTTTAGATCGAACTTGTCCATTGCGAAATAGCTTGAAGTGTGTAACTCAACAATTCAACTGGTGATAGCAGGTAGGCACAAAAGAAAAACCGGTCGCACGTCCAACCTTCTCATCAGTGAGCGAAAGCCTCTCGTTTGAAACAGCAGAAACGAGCCTGCTTTATACAGCTGCGGACCGACCACGATTTGCATGCGAATCACGAGGCAAATTGAATTTCACGTTAACTGACCGAGACTACTCGGCATAAAACGCGGGCGCCGCCATTTTTGGTTTTTTTTTTACAGTTGGAAGGACCAGTGTTTACATACTGCGCAGATTCGAACGCGTTTCCGAGGTAGGCCATTTTCACAATTTTCCCCACAACATCCCCCTAACCCCCCCTCTCTCTCAACTGCAGGATTCAGTCAATGTTGTTTTTTTTGCTGTCACCAAAGCAGGAATTTCAAACATACCATTGTTCTGTCTCACTTTCTGGGGTGAGGAGTTACCATTATTTACATTGAGAATATGTCCTAATCTTTGTTGTTATCTGAGAGAAAATTCTTAATAGTCAAATCTATCATATGTTGTTTTTAGGTGTCTGACAATCCAAGCAATTTTGAACTGAACCCTTTATTTAATTTATGGGAATGGATTGTTTTCATTCCATTTTCTTTTCTGTGATACTCTTGCTTCAAACCCTTGTTTGTTTGAAAATATATTTATAGTAAAAATGTAAAGAGTTGAGGAGGGCTGGTGAAATAAAAAAACAAACTTTCATAGCTGCTTCATATCAACCAGTTTAGTACAAACACTCTTATCTCTTTCAATAATAATAAAAATTCAAGATAATATCACTACAAATTTACATATTTAAGATATAAGTACATGAACTTCTTTTCCCACAAAACCAACATTGTGACTCCCACCCCTGAATTTAAATGCAGAGATAAAATCAATTATAACTTTGTTCTATATTTGTTCTGGTTGTTTAAATTTTAAACTTGGGTTTTTTTCTAGTTTTCTACAAGTATTACATTTTTTTTTATTTTCATGGAATTGCTTCGTAGAAGAATTCTGCTTATGAGAAATACTTAAAAAAAAAACAAAAAAACATACTATTTTTTTTTAGTAAAGTATTAATCAGAAGAATTTTATTAGAAACAAATAAGTGTACTGAACTCTATTTACATTATTTGAACTATTGTCCTCATCTTTATTGCCATATTTATTACAACATGTCGAACTAAAACCCTTTATTTCACTCAGTGGGGTAGACTGTTCTAGTTCCATGTGCTATGTTTAATTGATGTCGGTTATCAGTTATCTCCTGTTAATTTCCCTCTGAAAGTTCTCCACTGCCTTAACCGGGTATTGAACTCACACTCTTTGGGTCCTGTCACTGGATCTAACTAATGCCTTTATCCACTGTGCCATGTGTCCTTGAGGCATTAGTTAGATCCAGTGACAGGACCCAAAGAGTGTGAGTTCAATACCCGGTTAAGGCAGTGGAGAACTTTCAGAGGGAAATTAACAGGAGATAACTGATAACTGACATCCATTAAACATGGCACAGTGAACTAGAACATTCTACCCCAGTGAGCGAAATAAAGGGTTCCGTCTAACATTCCAACCACCTGAAGAAGGCTGGAGCATACAATGGCCGAAACATTGTAATAAATATGGCAACAAAGACGAGGACAATAGTCCAAATAATGTAAATAGTGTACATAATACCTCATCTCAGAAATATAGATGTGTACTGAACTGTTATGTAATATCAGTCCTCCTATATGGCAGTGGATGCTGGACAATCTTCTCACAGATGAAGTGACTTGAAGTAATAGAAATATGGCTCTACAGAAGAATGCTGTGGATACCATGGACTGAACTTGTGGGCAACAACAAAGTTTTAGAGTAAATGAAAACAAAACAGACACTTATACTTAACATCAGGAAGAGGCAGTTGAAATTTCTAGGGCGCATAATGAGGAAAGAGGACATGGAAAATTTTGTAATGCCTGTTGTAGGAGAGACTTTGTAAATCACAGATACAATAATAGTAACATCTTTGAATAATACTCTGTCAGACACTGCTAATTCCTATATATATATATATATATATATATATATATATATATATATATTCGTTTTCTTTACTCATCACATAATTATTTCAAGAAGAGGGCAACTGTGCTTGCTCTCTGGTGATCCATGTTCAAGCCCAAGTGTCAGCAGTGGCACTTTATTCCTATATAACAAAATTTGATACTCACAGCACAGATTGAGGGCAAGAGGGACAGAGGAAGACAACACATAGCTTATTTTGAGTAAATGGATGGTGGAACAAGGTTTAGGCGAGATAACAAACAACATTTATTAAAAGCTGCTAAGGACAGGAAATTGTGGAGAGTCATGATCACCTGCATCCTGAAGGGGCACTGCATTTAAATGAGTTGAAAGGGAGAGAAAGAAAGCATTGTGTATTTTTAGCATATGTTATTTTGACTTTATATTTGCTGAGAGAAATTCTCAATAGTCAAATCTATCATTATATGTTGTCTTATTTTTTTATTTTTTTTTAATTCTGATATATGTCCAAATTTCTTTGGCCATACAAAGCTCAGATTAGTAGATATCTATATCCAGATATATGAATCAATAACAGAAACACATTGTAGTCAACATACAAATTAGGCATTCCTGCAATTTTGCATTTATCCAGGTCTCCTTCTGCCTACTCCCAACCAGTGTCTGCCCTTAGCATTGATCTTTGCTGATTAACTGTTTATGATTGGTTACTTTATTGTAATTCATTTCCTCAGCTAAATTTATAAGCAACAGTCGGATTCATTTATTGTTCCCCTCTCTCGACACAAGTTTGCCAAATCTTCACTACCCACTCCCATTACCAGCCGTCCTCATCTTTCTTTCTCTTTCCCTACATTTTGAGACAGACGTTTGTCTGAATTTTCCCCACCAAATTTTTCTCCTCACCTCTTATCTAAAAATACAAATTTTTAAATCTCTGTCCACTTCAGACATTACCTTCATTGTTGTAAGGAAACTTTACTCTCTGTCAGCATTTTAACTCTTCAGCTTTTCTCTTTCTCTCTCTCTCTCTCATTCAGTTCTTTCCTTCTACTTTTTCTTCTTTCTTATGACCTTTTTTTTTGCTTTCTCTTGCTTTTCTTTCTTTTCTTTCCTTCTCCTCTACACTCTTTTTTCTTCTTTTCTCCTTACATTCGTCTCCCATTCATTTCTTTCCTTTCCTTTTTTTTGTCCTTTTCCCCTATTCTGCTTTTTTCATATTTTTTTTTTTTTTTTTTTTTTTTACCCATATTCAGCTTTTTTCATTCTTTTACCCCCATTCTCTTGTATGATCACTGATGTTAAGCAACATTGAGCCTGGTCAATACCTAGCTGGGTAACCACATTAGAATACCAGGTGCTGTAAGCTTGAATTTGCAGGTGGTGTAATGGATAACATGTTAGAATTGGAAATCAATGCTGTGGTCCAATTCCAATTAAGTTTGTTATATTTACTTACTTGCTGTTATATTTACTTATTTGCAAATATCTTTGGGAAAAGTATGAATTTCTTTTTTTATTCATTACTAATATATGAATGATAAGAATTTAATAAGTGTTCTTTCAACATTTTTGAGTGGGCTTGCTTGTATACTTTTAGTTTTAATGTAGGTGTCTTTTATTCTTTTTTTTTTTTAAGCAACATTTATACTTTATGCAAATATGAATCCTGGGTATTTTGACTTGGAATATTATCATATTTTTGTGTACCAAATATAAACACTGGTATAATTACATGAATTCATTTGACTCTTCCCCACCACCACTAAACATAGTGCTTATTTGGTATGGTACCCTGATTATTTTTCAAATAATTTTCTCTATAGCAAGATTATCTTGTTTTACTTTTATAAACTTATACACTTATTTCATAAGGTAAAAGATTCCCACTAGCATGACTAATCCAGATGGCACTTAGAGTTGGTATATAAAAAAGTTGAATTGACTAGATGTAACCATGAGTTCTATGCTAACAGTTTCTTTACTGGCACTTCTCATTTGTAGTCCTCTCACTTTCTGCCTTTTTGCTTTCCAGTCAATTTTGATCTTCAAAAATTTAAATGCAATGTCAATTGTTATCTTCTGTCTTAATTCCTGTTTTCATTTTTCTCATTTCTTAATGTTTTTCTTGCATTTTTTCACACTCAGTACCCCCCCTGTGTGTCAATGCCTTTGTTGCTTGGATTGAAATGATTTCATATATAATCCAAGTTCATAAATCCATCCTTTTTATTTTTTACAATCTTGTCCAAGTATATCAGCATATTCTGAACTACAGGGTACACAGTAAAAAAAAAAAAGAAAAAAAAAAAAAAAAAAAAGGAAAATTTATTCTTTGAGAAAATACACCATTTCAGTGGGCCTCTAAAAGCCCAGATCTGAATGTTATGGATTTTATTATATCTGGAGTATACTCCTAACTAACTCGCAAAACCATCGTCAATATTGATTCATTGAAGTGGAACTGAAGTTTGAATGAAATTCCTCTTGACACTATCTGCAAGGCTACTGCTTCCTGGTTACCACGCTTACAACTCTGTGTTGAACATTCAGACAAACATTTCTGATAATTGTTGAGTTTGTGCATGAATCATGATAGCTAAATAAATTTTTTCTGAATTTACCGCTTTTTTACTGGGCATCCTTTATTTCACAAGCAGAGTTTTATTTATTTTGGCTATGGTATTTTGCATGAAACAGATACCCAAGTCACTTCTGATCTTGGTATGCATTCTTTAATATATATTAGGCCATTCTCTTGCTTGACTGGCACTACACATTCACATCATAAACCATTTCTGATTTTTTTTTTTTTTAAAACTAAATTTGTTTTTACAAAAAATTGTACCTTTTAATGAAAAGGGTTCTTTGTGTAGCTTTTGATCTGTTTTTCCTTGCTTGATGTTAAGATTAATCATTGTTCATAGACATGGAAGATCTAATTAGAGAAATTAAAGATTGTTTTGTCTATTGTTTTCGTTTTGGCTAGCAGATGCAGTTGATTAGATCAGGTCAATTTTTTTTTTTTTTCAATATAGGAATAGGAAATAAATAAAGCTTGATTGATATGTCCTCCTGAGGATATTGCATCCTGTAAAAGCAATCTATTATTGTTCTATTAGAATTTGAAGATGAAGGCATTTAACCCCTTAATCGGTGAGCTGTAGTAGTGGTAGTTTGTTTCATATTTTATTTATAAAACATCATAAGTTAATTCATTTATAAAATAACCTGAATTTGGATAGAATCAAAAATATTTGTTGTATTATCTTTTAGAACAAAAAAGAATATGCCCATCTTGAATTTCTTATGCTAGGCAACAATAATTTCACAAGATGAGTAGCAACAACTAAGATTTAGAATTTTCATGATTAGGAATCTCATAACCTTTTGGGGAACTGTATGTTTTAAAGCTATTGCAGTATTGGGTGTGTCAAGACCAAGATAGCCTGATAAAGACCATCTGTCTTTAGGTTGTTTGTGTATTTAGTGTTGCCCAAGGCAAGAGAGCCTAGTCTGCTCTGCTATATATATATATATATATATATATATATATATATATATATATATATTTTTTTTTTTTTTTTTTTTTTTTTTACCCAATAAAAGGCCTAAGTGCGACTCAAGGTAGAGCATTATGTAACAGATGTCAGAGTGTATAGGGAAAGAGCAAGGATTACATATGAAGATATGTAGGATAGATAATGCTTGACCCCTGACTTGAAGATGTTAAGATTGTAGTGATCTGGAAAGCATCCTCTCAGGAGTCTGTTCCATAATGCCACATTTCTGGGGAATAAGCTGTCTGAATGAAACTTCCTCCTTACCAGTGGAATATGAAGGGAATGAGGATGAGTTGACTCTGGGTACATGGCATAATGGGTCCTAGCTGTGAACGTCTGGACTGGTGGAACCAAGGAATGTAGTTCATCTGAACATAACCCATAGCGGTAGGAAGTTGGTTTCATGCCTTTTTCCAAGGGAATTTGGGCAAAGTGAATGTATCATATTTGGTTTGAACTTTAACTTTATTTCAATTTCCATGCTAAGAACTTTTATGCTGTGCACTAATCTGTTAGACTTTTTAGCTATTTCTAAAATAAATGCAGATTTTTATAAAGTGGGGGGGGACGACAACAAAGAAATCAGTTCAGTAAATAATTGACTAAATATCATATTGAGGCATGTTTTTATGTTGCAACATTAGAGTTTTAGAAATTAGATATGGTGTGTCACAAGGCTGAATGTATGGAGCACCCAGTGAGGATTGAACTCACTACTCAGTTGTAAATGATCTAGTGAGACAAGCTTGTTAACTGTTACACCATGTTGAGCTGCCTCTTTAGGAATGAAATCTGACTAATTATAGATTATGTGTTTAGTAATGGATAGCAGCTTGGAATGAGAAATTTTAGAGCTGAGTTTGAATTCCAATTGGGTTTGTTACTTTTACTTACATGCAAGTACTGTTGGGAAAGGTATAATTCCATTTCTCCACCACTATGGGTTGAATAGTAGGTCTTGTATCAGGAAAATGCCTTGTTATTCTCAGGAAAATGGTGATGCAATATTCACTTCCCCAAAAAATTAAAACTTTCTTATAATCTAAAATATATTTTGGCTTTAAGTAAACTGTTAAAAGCAAATCAGTCAATCAGTATACCCAAAAGGTAACTGAATGGCAATATGGAAAAAAAAAAATCCTTATATTGCTTGTTCATCCCTTGAAAGGACTAATTAGGCTAATAAAAGCTTAGAAATACAATAAATGTTAGTTACAACTTCACATGAAGAAATACTGAAAATAGAATGCTTAGCTTTAAATTTATAGTTTAAAAAATTTTTAACACCCAATGCATCTAGATTCATAACCTAGTTAACTTTATTCACTTTCCTATCACTTTTATTTTATTGCTATTGTTTTTAAATATCTTTTATTGTAATAACAGTAATTTTGTTGAGAAAGGAAATATCACATTAATGAGAAAGGATTTAGAAGAGTGGCCATTCAAAACCTCTTTCCTTACACAATTTGTTAAAAAAGATTGGATCAAATTAAGAATTTGTCTAGAAATACCATAACCCTTCAACTCGTGAAGTAGGCCATTTTGCCAAACCCTGTCAAATGCCTTCGTTATCTAAGGCAACAGACTGAGCTTCAACCTACTTATCTAAAGTTTGACAGATTCTTTTAGCAATGACCGTTAATGAATCAATAATTGATTTAGAAAAGTGAAAGCCATATTGTTTGTCTGAAAGTAGACCCTGCAAGTGGATGTTAACTTAAGTAATGCATATATCGGGTGTGAATGAAAGTTCTGTCTGATTTTTGAGGTGAAAATGTTAAACAGAATTTATTAAAGTATTGCCACTTTATGTTGTTTAGTAATGTTTCTTCTTCTATATGCCATATCCCCTCAGGATGTAGGCAATCATGGCTCTACATAATTTCCTGTCCTTCATAGCTCTTAATAAATTTTGACTTCTAAACCTTGTGCTGACATCCATTTACTTAAGCTTAATAAGTATGTTATGAATTGTTTTCCTCTGTCTCTCTTGCTTTCAATCTGTTCTGTGAGTATCAGATTTTCCAATTCTTCTTTCCTCATTATGTGTCTAAGAAATTTCAACTGCCTTTTCTTGATGTTAAGTACAAGTTTGAGTAATTTATATCTTATTTTTCAAATTATAAGATTATTATTCATAATTATAGTTTGGGAATTGCTCCTATGTTTGTCCTAACTAAAGAATATATTAGAAACATTGTGCTCTGGGTTTCATCAAGGAGTCTATGCAAGTGCAGCATCAAAATCCATCCAGTATGCTTATGGGGTTCATGTATTGAATGAAAGAAGTTGCAACTGGTGGTTTTCTCATTTTCAAAACCGGGGATTTTATTATGAGCCAAGGGACTCCATTCAGAGGATTTGAAATCAATGGTTACATCAAATCCAGCCACTATGGCTAAGGAACTCCATGAGAAATTTAATATTAACTTATGTGACAGTTCTACATGAACTGAAAATGATTGGAAAGATTCCGGTGTTTGAAAAATGTTTCCGACATGACTTGTCTTCAGAGAATCACCAACGCTGTATTGATTGTTTTGAGTCATTGCTTATATGACAACTTCAAGTGGCCCTTTTTGGACAGGCATTTATTGGTGATGAGAAATGGATCCTTTACCATAATGTCAAGTGCTGTCATTGGTGGATCAGTTGAGGACACAGGCCTGCTCAACAACTGATAGAATTTCATCCAAAGTAGATCATGATGAGTGTGTGGTGTGATATTCAAGAAGTCATCCATTATGAACTGTTAGACAATGTTGATCTCTACTGTTAACAACTTCACTGTTTGAAAGCAGCTTTGGACAGAAAAGGAGTAATATCTATCATGATAATGCCTATCCTCACACTGCACTATTGACTAAATATCTATTAGAGGAGTTGAGAAAACTTGCTTTGTTCTTCATATTCTTCCAGCTTTGCACCTTTTTATTATCACTTGTTTAAGGGTTTGCAGAATCATTTGAATGGCCTAAGGCTGGCATCAGAAGAGGTTGAACATGAGCTGGTCTTGTATATTATATCAAAACCTAAAGAAATTTAAGAAGGTGGCATTTGTAAATTTGTTGACAAATGGAATAAGGTTTCAAAAACTGATGATTGAATATTTCTATAAGCATTAGTGTCTTCATTTGTAATAATAGACACGATAAAATCTGACAGAACTTTCATTCCAACCTGGTATGTTGTTTTAGAAAATAATTGAGTAAAAGAAAAAAAAAAAAAAAGATTCCTGTGTTACATAGAGTTAATTTATAAAATAAAAAAATATGCTTCAAAATGAAATCTTAGGAAGAAATAAAAAATAATCATTTCTCTCTCTCTCTCTCTCTCTCTTTCCTTCCCTCCCTTTCTCTTTCTCTCTCTCTCTCTCTTTCCTTCCCTCCCTCCCTTTCTTTCTCTCTCTCTCTCTTTCCTTCCCTCCCTTTCTTTCCTTCCCTCCCTTTCTCTCTTTCCTTCCCTCCCTTTCTCTCTTTCCTTCCCTCCCTCTCTCTCTTCCTTCCCTCCCTCTCTCTCTTTCCTTCCCTCCCTCTCTCTCTTTCCTTCCCTCCCTCTCTCTCTTTCCTTCCCTCCCTCTCTCTCTCTTTCCTTCCTCCCTCTCTCTCTTTCCTTCCCTCCTCTCTCTTTCCTTCCCTCTCTCTTTCCTTCCCCCCCTCTCTCTTTCCTTCCCTCCCTCTCTCTTTTCCTTCCCTCCCTCCCTCTCTTTCCTTCCTCCCTTTCTCTCTTTCCTTCCCTCCCTTTCTTTCTCTCTCTTTCCTTCCCCTCCCTTTCTTTCTCTCTCTTTCCTTCCTTCCCTCCCTCCCTTTCTCTCCCTCCTTTTCTATCTTACTCCCTCCTTTTCTATCTTACTCTCTCTATTTCTCTCTCTTTCTCCTCCCTCCTTTTCTATCTTACTCTCTATTTCTCTCTCTCTTTCTCCTCCCTCCTTTTCTATCTTACTCTCTCTTTTCTCTCTCTCTCTTTCTCCTCCTCCTTTTCTATCTTACTCTCTCTATTTCTCTCTCTCTTTCTCCTCCTCCTTTTCTATCTTACTCTCTCTATTTCTCTCTCTCTTTTCTCCTCCCTCCTTTTCTATCTTACTCTCTCTATTTCTCTCTCTCTCTTTCTCCTCCCTCCTTTTCTATCTTACTCTCTCTATTTCTCTCTCTCTCTTTCTCCTCCCTCCTTTTCTATCTTACTCTCTCTATTTCTCTCTCACTTTGGATAAGGAGTTTTACTTTGCATGCCTGATTTATTATTCAGAGTAATTGTGAAAGAAGACTTGCTTGAACATCTTTTCTCAATCTGGACATCAAAGGCTCCATTAAACAGTATTTATTTTAAAAGTTGTTATTTTTAATCAAAATTAACTTGGCAACTTGGTCTTTGCTGGAGACAAAGGATTTACTTCTGATACTAATTTGTTAAGTGCAATACAAAGGTTCTAACTGGGACTAAATCAAATTATTTTTGGAATACTGCATCGAAAGGCTAGGCACTGTTTATTTACCCTCCCCTTACAATGACAAAATTAGACAAACTGGCTTGCTTGCTGGCTCATTGTTACCTATTATACATCAGTACCAATATTTAGTTGAAAATATGCTTGAAGGTTTTATTCTTTGGTCATTTTATGATGGTATTTCATGAATAATTGATGAAGGCTTCTTTATTTGGCTTGTTTTATTCCTCTTTTATCTTTCCATTCTTTTGGTATAAGTGTTTTGGTGTTATTATTCTTTAGTTTATTTGGAGTCGGTTGCTTTCAATGTTTGGTGCATTTTAAGATGAAAAGATTTGAATCATTACTGAATGTTTATCTACAAAATTTCATACATTCATTGTTTCTATATTCACAACATTTTGATTTGCTTTTGTATTCTCTTGTGATTTAATCTTGTTTTTTATGACCTTGTTATTGATTTGTTACCAGTTTTGATTCTTATACTCAAACTATTTAATTCAGAAAATATTGCATCAAATCCATTTTTGCTTTCCTTAGCTTAATGATTTTGATCCATGGTTCAAGTATTATTTCCTTATTCTTCAAAATATAGCTTAATGATTTTGATCCATGGTTCAAGTATTATTTCCTTATTCTTCAAAATATAGCTTAATGATTTTGATCCATGGTTCAAGTATTATTTCCTTATTCTTCAAAATATAGCTTAATGATTTTGATCCATGGTTCAAGTATTATTTCCTTATTCTTCAAAATATAGCTTAATGATTTTGATCCATGGTTCAAGTATTATTTCCTTATTCTTCAAAATATAGCTTAATGATTTTGATCCATGGTTCAAGTATTATTTCCTTATTCTTCAAAACCGACAATTGATTATCCTAGGTAATTGATTCTGTTTGGTTTTTATGAGCCTGCTTTAATCTCTTCTACATTCCATCTTTGCTGACAGTTTTAAAAATAAGTTTATTCATTTTATCAAATTTATTTATCTTTGGAGAGAATATAGATAATCTTTAGAGTTGGCATTGATCTTGATGATTGCATAACCTGAGTTATTAAAAATTTCTAACACAAAGAAAAAGTTTTGTTCATCCACAACTATGTGGAGAATAACAAAAGACTGATTTGCTATATTAACTGTCAGTGCAAAAGGCTATAATGACCCATATAAATATATGCAAGAAAATCAATTATTTTTATATTATGTATTCAGCCTGACTGATGCTAAGCTCCAGGAGAGTGACTCATTGCACCTTCTCATGCTAACATTTTCTGCTGATATGAAGTGTAAAGATTATATTGAATCAATTGCTTGGTCTGCTGATAGGAAAGCTTGCTCACTGTGTCGAGCTGGGCAATTTTCCTCCACAGAATCTGTCTTGTACATTTATAAATCTGGCATTTGTTCATACATTGAAAATTGCTGCTAAATCTGGTCTAGTGTTTCTATATATTTAGAGATTCTTGATAAAATACAAAGAAAAATCTGCAATGTTATTGGTCCTGACTTGACATCTTGGTTCCAGTCACTATCCCAGCACCATAGTGTAGCTTCCCTGTACCTTTTCTTTAAATACTTTTGTGATAATTATTCTGATGAGTAGCTTTGGTACCTAAACTTTATGAATTTAAGTGTAGTATGCCTTTGGTGGCAAGCTCTCATCACTTTACTGCTTAATAAATTGCTAGTTGTAAGTGTAAGTTCTATGCTAATAGTTTCTTCTATCACACTTCTCAATTGTGGAACTCTCTTCTTTGTTTTCCAGTCAACATTGATTATCAAATATTTAAATGCAATGTCAATTGTTATCTTCTGTTTTCTTAATTCTTATTCTTTTATTGTTCTATCTCCTTAAAGTTTTTTTTTTCATATTCTTTCGAACTCAGTAATCCCTTATCTTTTAGTGGCTTTATTTCCTTGCTTCAAGTAAAATCATTAAAAAAAAATAAGAAAAAAAAAGTAAAATGGTTATAATAATCTTTGAGTGAGAGAGAGGCTTGTTTTCAAAAAATCTTGAATATTTGCTGGAGGGATAAAAATTGTAGATTTAGTACAAATCAATACAGTAACAGATCAATATTAGATTGGCAACCTGCGAGATTTTTTTTCTTGAAATTTGATCAAACCAACACTTGTTGCATTATTCAAAGCTACCTATATATATATATATATATATATATATATATATATATATATATATATATATATGATGCTTTGTGTGTTCTTATTTGTATAATTGTTTTTAGTGCTTTTTTAAGTTGGAAGTTTAACAGCATATTTACATGTCAACAAGAAAAATGATGTAAGAAAAAATTGATGGAAAATATAAAATTACTTATTGGCCTTTTTAAAAATATTTTCTAGATCCTAGCATTTCAAAAAAATAAATAATTTTTTTCAGTTTGTTTTATCTTAATAATAATGATGATGGTGATGATATTAATAATAATAATTAATAAATTTATTCGTTTTGACTTAAAATAATATTACTTGCCATGGCTATAATTTCTAAGTAAATGTCATCATTTGTAGGGTTAAAGCAGTACTAAGAACCTGACCAGTTCCCTTGATATGTGTATCAAAAGCCAAAGAGGTATTCATGTGTAGTGTGTTTGAGGCAAGTAGACCTGACAGAGCCCATCCTTTTGCAAGTCAAACCACAGCCAATGTGAACTAGATGGTTCACCTTGGTTACAGACATGCAGCCATTGACTCCATTGGGAGGAACCCTCTACTCTAGCCATTGACTACAGTCTAGGAAGCCCTCTGCACAGCAGTGTTGTATTATCACCACATTGGCTGCATCCATAGCTATGGAACTCATTCCACACCACTGTGCTAGATAGCCATTGACCATAAAGAAGGTTCAGTCAAACTTTGACAGATCTTGTTTTTAAGACTACTGATGAGGGAAACCGTTTAGTCACCACTTTATATAAAGGTGATTTATATACTATCAAATACATGGTGCGATGGATAAATTGTCATCTAAATTAGACAAAAATGAAAATAATACTGACATCTCACTTTAACATATATTTACCAAAATTATACAAAAATATCTTGAAATACTAAAGAGTAAAATTTCTTTGATAAAAATCACCATTGGCTTCAACCATGGCCTTGTAGAGAACTTTGGAATGTCCTGTAATTCTTCTTGATGATCTCCTTGTTTAAGTTGGTGAATGCTGCCATAATCTTTTAGTTCATCTTTGATGTTACAAAGAATTTTGTTGGTTTCTTGTTCAACTGAACCCCACACACAATAATCAAGGAGGTTGCAGTCTGGGGAGTTAGGTTGCCAGATGCAAAGGGTGATGTGGTCGCAGAAATTGTCTGACAGCCATGACTCAGTTCTCCTGCTTGTGTGGCATGGTGCAGAGCCCTGTTGCCAGATATAGTGTCTTCCAGCAGTCACCCTTGACTCAGGGCAGTACTACATCCTCAAGGCACTTGATGTAACTTTCCATGTTGAGTCTGAGGCCCTGTGAAAAGTTGAATGGTGGCATAATGTCGCTATCACTAGTGATCACTCCAAACACCTTTAGATTCGTCCAACTCTTTGTAAATTCTCTGTACTGTCCTCAGATTTGACACCCTCTGAAATGTTTGTAATGGAGCTTCTGGCTTGAATGCCAAGCAGTACAGCATGCCATTTCCAAATTTTTAGCAAAGTGAATTGCATCATGGTGCTCCTTTTCTCACAGATTGTGTCCAACTGTGCTTACTATACTGTGCAGTTGACAAAAGCAAACAATGCACATGTATGAAATTAATAATATAAAATGGCGATAATTTACTCATCGCCCCTTGTACAGTGCTCAATTGAAAGAAATTGATTTGAATTCTCTGTCCATGCCTTTTAAGATCATTTTGGAAGTGATGTAAACATTAAACGGTCATATTTTTTTTTTTTTATTTTATCCTTAGGAAAATTTGTGACTGAAAAGATAATACAATATAAAAGAAGCTGACAAAATTTGTTGCAATTTTGTAATTTAATTTCTGACTCTAAAATGTTTCATGTTCTATTGGCAAATTTTCTTTGATATATATTTGTTTTTGTTTTTTTTTTTTTGCTTTTGAGTTCAGATATTTCAAGTATTTAGACCTGCATTATTGATTTATAGCTTTGCTTGAAAGAGTGATGAACTAAACATCAAATGTAACACATTAACATAGTTTGTTTATAGCAGCAAACAATACATTAAAAATATATTTTCTGCGCTACAGTTTTAGCTGTTATGAGGTGGGAAATTCTGTTGTCTACTTTCCCTTTCATGTTTCTCTTTGTATTATTAAAATAATAAAATCCAGACACCCTGTGAAAATGCCAGCAAAGTTTTACTTCTCTCTCTTTCCATTTTTTCTTTTATTTGATGAAAAGAGCAAGAGAGAGAATAAAAAAAAATAATAAGCAAACAAAAAAAATCATAAAGAAAAAAAAAAAGACAGGCAGTTATTGGTGTTTATAACTTCAGCATGATCCCCATACACATGTTGATTTGCCATATGGGTTATTTATTTATTTTTTATTTTTTGCAGGAGATTTCCTGAAAAGAAGAAAGTAAAGAAGAAAGTCAGAACTAAAACGAAGGAGAAAAAAACAAAGGTTTGTTGCCCCACATCTCTCTCCGTTATTTCATATTTTTTTTATGACCAACCTCTGTTAATACTGCAGGGTATTCTTACAGATTACTACTGCAGGATTTCCTACCATCCCACTTAAAACAGTATAAACACTTCTATATTTTTATATATCATCTTTTTGGATTTTACAAGATA